ACCCCACTTCCGCCTCTTACACAGAATGACATTAGATTATTCCTGACCGTATTCATGTCATGTTGTCATGCTTGATCTCGACTGTTTGTCTCTCAATGGGCTTCCTCGGACAGAATATCGTACTACTTTTTATTACAATTTTATTTTGTATCAAAATTGAACCAAGTATAAGCTCAAAAAAACGAACCAAATGTTTTCTCGTTTATTATTCCCACTCAGTCAATAAGAAAATAAGATCCTTCTCAAATAATTTTTGCTTATTTCTTTTTTTTCAATAATCATTTGGAGTTGAAAAGACAAATACCTTAACAGGCTGTTTTTTTAAGAAACCATACTTGATTTAAGATCACAGCGGTCAATTTCAGACCAAAACAGCTCAGAACCACACTCGTTTAGGTAGCAAAGCTTCTAAAGATTATTCCTCTAGATTATTCCTGACCGTATTCATGTCATGTCATGCTTGATCTCGACTGTTTGTCTCTCAATGCGCCTCCTCGGACAGAGTATAAGGTCGTACCACTTATTGCAATTTTATTCTGTATCAAAATTGAACCAAGTATAAGCTAAAAAAAACGAACCAAATGTTTTCCCGTTCATTATTCCCACTCAATCAATAAGAAAATAAGATTCTTCTCGGATAATTTTTTCTAATTTCTCTTTTTTCGATAATCATTTGGAGTTGAAAAGACAAATACCTTAAGAGGCTGTTTTTTTAAGAAACCATACTTGATTTAGGATCACAGTGGTCAATTTCAGACCAAAACAGCTCAGAAACCACACTCGTCTAGGTAGCAAAGCTCCTAAAGGGGGAGAGTACATTTTTGCTAACGCATACATAGGGCCAATTTGCAAGGGCGGCCCTCTCATCTATTGAAGTGATGTTTTAGGCGAGCAGGGCAGAATTAAAGAACTAAAATGACTGTAAGTTGATCATCCTAACAAATTCTGCTTTGTTCACAATTAAACCCTAATCTATAGCCATATTTGTTTTTCTTTCTTATTTTTTCTCTGGCCAAATGGAAGTTCTAGCATTTTTAACGGAGCTCTCAGAGCGTAGCCCCATAATTATACAAAATAGTAGTAACCCATCAAGCCGAAAAAATTTGGATGTACGACCGTTCGACCGTACGACCGCGCAAGGTGCTACTTTTAACATGCGTGGTCAACTGTACCACGGACACGCCAACGCCACGGCTTTGTTCAGTAGTTCAGTCGTCATTGCACTGGGCTCCCAGTCGGACGACCCGGGTTCTAGTCCTGGCTGGAGCAAGGCGTTGTGCCCTTGAGACGTGCGGGGAAAAAAATGCCAGCTCCGCTTTTAGGCCTGGCTAAATCTATATATTATCGTTTCCTTTGCTGGCTCTGGTGTTCTTCGATTATTATCGCAAATTTGTCCAAATTTACTTGCAGGAGGGGCAAGACTATCAATTCAACTACCACATATAAGTTGGTTTTATTATCTGATAATGTAAATTGGCCACCGTAAAGATTTTCTAGGGCTGAGGTTTCGAGCGTTAGCCCTTTGCTAACGCTCGAAACTTCAGCTTAAGGAGATCTCTATGGTGGCCAATTTACATTATCAACTCATTTGATTAAATCAAATTATCTTGTTATACCCTTTCCCTCCCCTCCACAGACACAGCACCACAGATTCCATAACAACTCACCTCCTTTATCCAACTACTACATAGTCATTAAATACTTCCGGCATTTATATATCATATGGTAAGGTAGTCTGGTAAATTCGAGCGTTCTGATGGGTTCTTATATTTTGAATAATCAGGTTTAGTCCGACTGCCATGTAATAATGTACTTACTAACCTCTCTTGCGCGAGCTGTCCTGGGGAATGTACATTAAGATATAAGACTGAATTTCCAAACAATCGAAATTCCAAATGATTTTTACTTAGTCATCGGAGTTACTCCATAAGCAAATGACTAGGGAAATGATAGGAGAAAATCCGAACATTGAGTAGCCAAGGTGCTTTAATTTACAAGATGATCGTTATGTGTGTACCCACGTACCAAGGCAAAACTTCGTCATCGAATACGTCAGTCAAATATACTACACTCTTTGACCCATGAAATCATCCATACCGCGTGGTTCTTTAAATTTTTTACGTGATTCATCTGGACACTCTAAGGCAACTTTTAGGGTTAACGATCTTCACTTGATCAATTATCATTATGTTACAAACTGTACTGCATCAGTCGCTAAACATAACACATCCAAAAACGTCCTTTTAACCACGACAGTTACTTTCTCGTTACTCGTTTGGAATGTCTAGGAAACGATCTTTTAACTTGATTCAAGATCCCACTTGTTTTCGAGAGTTCCCGTTTTCAAGAGTTCTTTGTTTTCAAACATGTATTTTTTTTCTGATTACATTTTGCTTTGGAGTTGATCATAATGTAAACTAATCACAGCCACTCGTGCAATGAAAGAATGAAGTCAATTATTCATCCCATCGAATTGTTTGAGCAGCTCCAAAATGCCCACCTCATTCGTCTTTTCTGGTTTTGTTTCTTTTCGAATCAGAGCTAGTCTTGCCAGCCTTAGAAAACGAAATCAGGTTAACGAATTAAAGGCGTAAAGATGAATTTCACGTGAGCCTAACTCAATATAAGTTTATGTGTCCACTTTTTCGACAAAGAAGGTGTAGCCTCAAATATTCGCTTTAAGACTCTCCTAAAAAATTTTAAGAAACTGGATATTCTCCAAATTGACGCATCAACATTGCATCACAAATATCTTTACCCTAATACATCGTTATATTTAAACGAATCTTCCGTTTTTCACGGTATCGGGCACAAAAATGAATGTGAAAGACGTAGATAACGTAAATTTACAAATGAAGTAAAAAAAATCACGTGAATCAATCAAGTTAATATTTTGATAACACTAGTAATCACGAGCAGCTCTTCTATCACGCTTCTATAAGTTATTTACTTAGCTACTGTAATGGGAAAAATCATATAATATTGTTACGTGAGACCTTAAAATTTATCACACAGTCGATGTTAATAGGGCACCTTGAAAATAATTCAACTGTTACTTTAATTTGAATATCAAACCTGGTTTAAGACCTTTTAACTCATGAATTGCGCGCATGCGCAAGAGCGAGTTATAGATACGATGTGGGGAATAGCATTCGCTCGCTCGATTGGTCGATTCCTGTAAACTTTTTTTCGATTTTAGGCTTTTGAGTGCATTTGATAGTTTTTGGCGAGCAATAAACAAACGAAATGGCGACCTTTGTTGCTAAGAATAGTGGTGGGGTGAAAAAGAAGCCAATGATAATCTTAAAAGAGTGTTTTTTTTTTCGTTTTAGTTTCAACAAGCGGCGCCAGCGACTGGCAGGCATGCTAGGATTCACACTGAAATAACAGAGCAACCTTCGTTTTTCATAAAATTGTAATTCACAATCCTTGAACTTGAAAACAATCCGAAGATTTATTGAAAATATCACTTACTGCGAAGCGCACGGAGTTTACAGATATTCAAAAGCTTTGTCTGTTATGGCGTGAGATTGAGGACAAAATCGATCATTACGTTTCGTATCGTGTGTTTTCCCTGTGTGAAGCGACAAAGGATGCCGGCGACTGACGAAATTACAAATAAACACGAAAATCAAATAACGCCTAAACAAACAATTTTAGCTATCGATTTTCAGTGAATTTTTAACGAACAATTTTCTTTTAAGGTTCAAGACAATTTGAAGTTTCAAAATACGTATTACGTACTAAAATGCGAAAGTTATACACCACAAAATTGATAAATAGGCCTGAAATAAAATTCTATCTTGTTATTGATTATACGTTGCCTAGCACGTGACTAAAATCTACCCAGGCGGAGATCCAAAATGACGGTGGCAGTCTTGGCTTAGTTATATCACTCAAAACTCGTTCCCGTTTGTCTCATTTGATAAAGAGGGAATCGTTAATGTTTTCACTAAGACAGTATTGCATTGATTTTCTAATTTTTACAATGATAGACAGTAAATTTCGCTTTTCACCCACATTTACTTCCAACCTTTTCTTTTGAACCAGAAACAAAAATGATATACGTTTAAAACACGACATCATCCACCCTTGTCAAATGTAATAGCATGATCATTTCAATTTCAATTACTTTGTTTCTTTGCTACATTAGCGAACACTGAACTACTGCTTGTACTCTAGATACGACTATCAACCAAAAAATTCCCTAAACCAGATAACATTAAACATAATCCAAAACATCATGTGTCAATTCACGAGTTTGCTCATAGAGCACTTTGATTAATAATCATGATCATTGAATTCATGGAATTCAAAAGAAATCGAGATAACAAGACGTAGAAACGGGTGTGGGAAAAAATCATATAATATTGTTACGCGAGACCCTAAAATTTATTACACAGTCGATGTTAATAGGGCACCTTAAAAGTAATTC